GCAGCCCGGGTCCAGCCTGGAGCACTAAGTCCAGGCAAAGACCACCACGTCGTCACCCACAGACCTCTCTGAGCACATTAGGAGGGTCGTTGAGATTATCTTCCTGTGCCTCAGTTTCTCGAGAGATGTCGCATCCCACGTACACAGTGCCACGGCCAGACACGCGCGGTACCCGGAGATGTGGTGCCTGCAGCTCACGCGGGAGCCCCCCGCGCTCGGCGCGGCGGACCGGGATGAAGCAACGTACATCTTCCAGCTACCTGCTGGGATCGATCGCCCCAGAGCCTCCCCTGGGAACTGCAGCCTTCTTTACGTTCAATTAAGTGGACGTTACCCCTTCCATCTCTAGTGATTAATACAGGTTTAATTGCTGCTTCTGCTGGCTGCTGGGGGAGGGCAGACATTTCACCGTCCCGCTGGGTATAGGCTGTGCTGCTGCGAACAACCTGGATTTCAACCGGCTGCGTGGTTTTGCCACCCTGAATGCCAGCAAGGGGCTGGCACAGCCCCCGTTCAGCCCTGAACACCACTCAAAACCTCCCTGCCCCTCCCGCATCCCGTGAACAGCAGAAACCCCTGAGCCAGGAACCACAATCCTCCTCCCAGGAACGCTTCAGCCCACTCTGCTGTCTGTACTGCTGCGTGGAGCGTCAGCTGGGCTGAGCAGAGGAGGATGAGTCTCCTCTCCTCCACGCACAGGAGCTTACGGCCTTCAGCAAGTCTGTACCAAGAATAAAGGGAGGCCACCTCCATCTTCAGCCAAACAGCCACCAGAACCATTGCCAGAGCTTTAAAAACCTGTCCGTAAATGCAAAGTGACAAAGTCTGCTCAACGTTCAGATGAGAATTGAAGTAAAGGTCACTTACCCCACCTCTGGTGCCGGATCCTGGCTAGGAACACACACAGCGCATGCTTCCGGCTCAAGCAGCATCTTGCTACGTCAAACGAGGTCCCGAATCATAGCTAGTCCTCTTGTCTCCAGGGGCGAGACTCGACTCGGGCCTCTAGACACTAACCTCTACGACACTTCTCTTCTCCAGATGGAAGTCAACATAAATCAGAACCTGCTGTCAGCTGCTCCAAAGCTCCTGCTGCTGTTGACACCCAGATCGGAGCCACCGGCTAACCTGGGCTGCATCAGAGCCAGCCTTGCTCAGAGACAACCACAACCGCAGGCTAACTTCCCTCCGTGACCTGCTCTACACCTCGTCACTCATCTCATGGACAAAGAGCTAGAGGAAGGAGCAAGGTAGATAAGAAAAAAAATCAGGATTATAAATCTAAAATTTTATTGAGACAAAAAACTGACAGAGCTCGGTATGAAGTTAAAATCCAAACACGTACTTTACATTTAAACAACGTTTTCACAGAAACCTAAACACATGCTTTTAAAAAAAGGTTTGTACAATGCAAGTCTAGATACATACCACCCTACAAGGAGGTGCCAGGAGTCTGGTGGGGCTCATGACTCCAGACATTAAATAGTTCAGTATTTGTAATAAATCTGATTTAAAAAAAAAAACCACCTCAGAAGATTCAGGGTAACACATCCGGCTCCAGCGCCAACGTCTGGCCTCCTACAAACAACCACTTGTTATGGGAGAATATGGAATTGATTTTTTTCCTAGTGCTGCTGTTGATTTCCTCTCCCTCCCACAACTAAAGGGCTCCCAGTGCTGCTGGGCTGGACAGTCAAATTAAGGTGAGAAAAGGAACAAGTAGTCAGAAGTCTCTCTCCCCCCCCACCCCAATTTTGAGAAATAGCACCTTGTAACGGAAAGAAGGGTAGAAAGGCTTTTAAAGGGTTAAAATCCATTCCCGCCCCGCACCCCACCCTTCCACATACAATGCATGTGTCAGTAACTGGCAGTTCTGCTTCAGGACAATACGAATCACAAGTTTGCATTTTCACAAGTCTCCCCTCAGCCCTCCCGCCCCCCCTAAAAATTGCTCGCAGGGTTTTGAGGATCTTGGCTCCAGAGATTTGGACATTCACAGTTTCAGTCTCATGTCAGTGTCCCTGTCTCCCTAGTTCTGTCATCAATACTGGGCTCTTCCCCCGCTCCCTTCTGTTTTCTTTTCTGAATTCAGGTTCTAAAAAAGATCTGGAAATGATCTGGAACATTGTCACCAGACCTCATCTCCCTCCCTCCCCAATTAAACAAGAGACCAATTTCCTCACATCCCTCCCGCCAGCCCCCCAAACCAATACACCAGTAAATAGCAAAAGGAAAACAAAACAAAACAAAACAAAAAAAACAAAACCAAAAACCTACACACATGCTACGCCGTAAAAATGCAGAGTTAACACTATTGGGAAGAAGGCTGTGGGTTGCTGAGATGGTCTTTGAAGAATAAGCAGTATCCATCTGCACTCCCTTTCCCCAGCCCACCCATCACCAGTGATAGTCCTTCATGGAAGGGGCTTTGCTTCCTCTCCCACAAGCTGCAAAATAGACAGCCTTGAAACAAACACCCCAATTCATCCCCCCAACACCCCTAGTATCCCCCTGCCCTTCCCTCCCCCCCCAAATTGAGCCGGGCTGGTTTGAATCTGTACACAGCATGAAGCTGCATAAAGCAGTTGAGCAGCTGCAGGGCACAGAAACCATACTGGTCTCTTCAAAGGGCATCTTCTCCAGCCATCTCTACGCTCCCAGCCGAGCAGAGCTGCGTTCTCTCCCTCTTGCTCAAACCCACAGTTCAGATCTTTATACAAAGGCTGGCCAGAGCGGGTGCCAGGGGTTAGTTCTTGTCCTCTTTCTTGTCATCGTCCTCTGAGGGGTAGGAATGCCATGTCAACCTCTCCTCATAGAACGAGATGACCACCTGGGGGCACTTGATGTTGGCTTCCTTGGCAGGGACCAGGTCGGCCTCGTCAGAGTTCTTCCTACAGGCCAGAGCAGAGGTGCAAGTTAGAGGGCTGCGGAGGAGAGGTGGAAGAATGGAGACCGGAGGAAAAAAATCAAGAAGCGGCAGGGAAATGGAGTCCCTGGGCTGCTCAGGGGATCCAAGCGACCCCTTCCTGAGTGGCTCTGGAGCAAGGAGAAGCAGCACGTGAGCCCAGGAAAAATTCAGGCGTGAGTTCAGCTCTGGGTTGCCGGGGATGGGGGGAGAAGCCGAATCAAAGCTGCGGCCGTGCCCCCAGCCACTCCGTACTTCTGAGACGGTGCAAAAGCAAACGGCTCCCACACCTACGCCTGACCGGTTTGGGTCCCACCTGCGCCAGCAACAAGACCTGTGTCACTACAGCCGAAGGGGACACGGTCATCATCATGGCTCTCCTGAGTGCAGCCTTCCAAAACTGCAGCCCGCGCCATGACATCATGCCCCTCTCTCTCCCCAAGCTCACGCCTGCTGCGGGGGGACATCTTAAGAGCCACGCAATCCCAAGGGCCCTACCTGCTCGTTTCACATCCACGTTAGCCTCAGCGCAGAGGGTCACCTCAGGCAGCAGCGCCATCGCAAGAGATTTCATGCCAGGTAGCAGGGACTCCCCAGGCGCAGGTCCTTCCCTCTCTGGCACAGAATAAGTGAAGAAGTGACAGACACAAAGACACACTCACCACTTCATCAGGAACATGAGCTCCCCGCTGGAATCCGTGGCACCAATGATTCGCTCTGGTTCAAATCCCCGGGCAAAGCCTCGCGGTTTCTCCGACTGAAAAGAGACAAGGTTCCACTTGTAGCATCACAGGATGACGGCCATAGCCCTGTTTCTGGTCACCAGGACACACTGGTGGCTGTTCAGAAAGGTTCTTGCGTATCAGTTGCTCAGACTATAATGACTAAGGCCAGTGGGGAACGGTGACAACTACTCAGGTGTAAACCCACTGCACTGAGATGACCTCTTGCTGAGTGCCCTGCTCACGCTGCAAGCAGAGGATCTGATTTCCAAGGCCCTGCTGGTCAAACTCTCGCACTGGCCAAGATTCAGCAGCTCCTGGGATAAAAACCAGACTGCAGAGCTTTTTTACTGTCCTTTTTCCTAAGTAGGTATGAGCCTCTTGAGCAGGAGGCTCTCTGCTCCACATTCTTCCCCCTCTTGAAGGGACAACAGGCAACTCCCTGCCTCCTGTTTCACCCCTTGTGCTGGAGTGTGAGAAGAGAGAAGAGGGAGGGCTCAAGAGAAGCTAGGTCTCCGTACCCTTTCGGTTCAAGAACTGGCCTTTCAATTCAGTGCTAGAACTGGCTCTGGATTGACGAAGAGGCCTGGCCTAGACAACAGCTCATGCCTCCTTCTGAAAGCTACAGCTTTTCAAAAGCACTTCAGCTATGTGCAACAGTTTGCCTTCCATGAAGGAGGACAGTGTGACTGAGGTTCTGGAGCGTGGCTGCTCTAGCTGCTAGACGCCGTGCCGAATGCAGGGGTAGGCTGGCGAGCACAGAAACCCCACCCTGCCTCACCTCCTCCTTTTTCTTCTTTGGTTTGCTCTCCTCCCCTTTATCTTCCGTGTCAGACTCCGCTTTGCGCTTGCTTCCCTCAGACTTCTCGCTCTCGTGTGCGGTTTTCTGAGATTGAAGGAACTCTGCAATGAGGTCTGGGCAGTCGAGGTTCTCCTCTGGCTCCCATGTGTTATCTTCACTGCAATCAAAGACAACAGCTTAGTTTTACATATGGGCAGCTTGCTGCAGCTTTCCCTGCTCAGGAAAATTCTGGACACCGGGTCATGTGGAGATGCTGAGAGAAGCAGAAGTCTGGATGTGGGTGTCCTCACCCCACGAAACAGGACCCTGCCCTGATGCAGGCAGGGATGCCAGAGGGCAGGGTGGTTATTTCCCTTCTCAGGAGAGAAATGCAGTTCATTTTATCCAGCTGCTTGTTTCACACTAGGCTAAAGGGGAGGAAGACCCACCAGGGCACTGTTCAGCCTGTTTGCAAGACAGAAACAGGACTTTCTCACCTAGGCTGTGCTCTTGTCGCCCTGATTAGAGCTAGAGGCATTTAGCACCGCAGTTTTTATCATCACGGCTGCCCTTGGCCTGCTAGCTCCATTTTACAGACAAGGAGAGGCACAGGCAGACTGAGCCACCTGCCTGGAGAGGCTTCGGGAGCCGAAGGCAGAAGAGATGCTCATGCTGGAGCAGCCCAGCACCCACCCCGCAGCAACAGGCTGGGAGGCACTTACTCCGAGAAGCCTTTCCACTTCAGCAGGTATTCCACTTTGCCCTTTACCACTCGCCGATCCAGGACCTTCTCCACCACATACTCCTCCTCCTCTTCCTCTAAGACCTCTTCCACTTTCTTCTTGTTCTGTTTTTTTCCCATTGTGCTGGCCAGTTTTTCAGCTTACGGGCGACGCTGCTGAAGAGGAGAGAGAACCACACGTTTGTGTCAAGGTCAGGTTTACCTTTGCCAGGCAGCAGACACACTGGATACGCCGAGGCAAAGCACGGTGCAGGGATGCTGCTTTGGAGAAAAACGGGCACGTACGAAGTAGGTAATACACGAAGAATGGGCCAGGATGGTCCTGCCAGCCAAAAAGGCAAACAGGAATCTCCAGCAGGAGATGCTGCATTTAAACGATGATTTTCTGACACACAGCTTTGGCCTTTTTGTCTCCCCAGCACCTTATTTCACCAATTCCATCAAGATTCTGCCTGATTCCACCCATACTTTGTCCCTGTTTTCAGCACACCATGTCTCGACCTCGCTGCTCCCATGTGTTGCCCACCAACCTCCAGAAACGAAGCAGCATCCTAGGTCAGATGCTCCACACCTTGTCCTTCCTCTGCTGAGTCCTGCGTGTCCCCCCTCAACCTGTTCTCTCCCCTTTCCTCAGCTCGCTGATCTGCCCTGCAGCTTAGCTCAACCCTGCTTTGAGCTGCAGAAAGCAGCTGCAGAGCTGTACAGCAGCGGGAGGGAGACAGCACACCGCTGATATTAACTAAAAGTTAATAAATAGTTAATTCAAGTTAAATACAAGTCACAGTCCCTGATACCGAGCTCCCCACATTCATTTCTTTGCTGGTTCATGGATGTCACTCTTGGATATTTATCTAACTCATCAATCCAGAAAATGTTTTTTTTTTCTCCTTATCTTCCAGAGCTGTTTAGACAGTCAAAAATTCCTGCATATATATCCAGTGCTTGCTGGAAAGCAGCAGAAGCGATGCAGAGCAAGGAGAACTCAGTGGCCTGACAGAGCCCAAGGCTACCTGCCGTAAACGCCGCAGCACACAGGTAACGAGTGACGGGGCAGCCCTCGGCGCAGCTCTCCACTTTCCACTCACACGGGGGGACTGGAGAGGAGAAGCAGCCCTGCCAACACGCCGGGCGCTTCCCCCAGGCTGAAACGAAACACCTCAGAGAGCCAAAAACCACAGAGAGGCCCCACTTCCCTGCTGAAACCCAGCTCGGACCAGTAAGAGCACCGCAGGCGGGCAGATCCAGGCTCAGAGTCTCTCCTCGCTGCTGCCGGGGATGGCCGTCCACCTCATCCCTGCCCAGCGTCCCTGCTGTGGGGCAAGCGGTTCTGCTAAACATACCCCCGGTCCGTGCAAACACTCTCCAGCCACTTCTTGACTGATACCAGTTACACCGACAGGTCCCAGCCCTGCAGCCCAGATCCTGAGCCACCACACAGCCCCGCGAGGGGAGGCACCAACCGAGCATCTGCGCGGGAGAGGAAGGGGCGCAGGAAGGGTTTTTTCTTTAGGTTCAAGAAAAATACAGAGCCCTCTAGTACCCTGACCTCATCACCAGCCTCTGCTCCAAAGAAGCCTGGGCGGCCAGCCGAGCGTGCCAAGCAAGTTGCGCGATTTAGACCGACCAAAGGGTCAAGAGGTTCCAAGCGTCCCCATCCGTTAGCTCCGATAAGCAGCTATGCCGTCATGGAGAGCCGCTGGCAAAGCTGGCAACGGGACCCAGACTGCCTGCAACCACCTCTGTACCTCAGCCTCCCAAAACCCCACCCTGCTGCCTCCCAAAGCCCCACCCGGCTGAACTGCTGCCCGGGAAGCTTTCACAGCCTAAGCACTGAGGAACACTTCTTTTTTATTCCAGTAAAACACAGATTTTCTGCCAAGAAAAAATGGTGAGCAGGTCAAACATTACCTGCCTGGAAACTCTAGTTTTGCCACTCAGGTTATCGTGAATCGTGTAGAATAAATTTCAGCTGGCAAAATCTATGCAAACTGGGGCTGGTTTATATGGCAAAACAAAAAATCCTGCAGGTTTTCACTGGCTGAAGGAGATGTCAGAGTTCAGCAGCTCAGGGGTACAGCTGGATGAGCTCCCTTGTGCACAAGACGCTGCCGAGCTGTGCAGCTGCCATTAGAGCATCATTCAAAGGAGAAGGCTTAAAACCAAGCCCCACAAAGCTCAAAAGACGTACCGCCAGTTCAGAGCAGCAGAAGCCACAGCAGAGAGGACGGGAGGGAGCACAGCCGAGCCGGCACGCTCCAGACCACCCTGCCTCTGCTGCTATCTCACAGACAGGGTTTGAGGGCAGCCGAGGAGCGTGGAAGAGGGCAGAAAGAGAAAGCAGCACTTCTTTGCTTGGCAGGCGCTGGACCAACGTGTTTATACTTTGGACCCCACTATTGCACTGCTGCTTTCAACCCGAACTCGGCATACAAGCTGTGCCAGCACCCGGGCTCTCGCTCCGCAGGGCGTTTGGCCTCTGTCCGTGCTTGCTGGTGGCCGGATATCTTCCCTTTATGCCCCCTCCCTGCACGCACTAGCCATGAGGCGACCACAGCCGCCTCACTCGATGGTGACGTCGGGGTAGGAGGAGGAACGAACACCTTCCCCCTGCTACTGTCTTGGGGTGTTTGGTGGTCACTGAGGAAGTTGGGGGGTTGTGAAGGTGAAAACTAAACCCCTTCTAAGTGTTCAACGAAGTAAGAAGTCCCCTGCCCTGTACGGACCAGCAGCTGATGTGGCAGTAGGGATACTCGCACAGACAGGCAGTGCTTCCCCCCGGATCCTTTATTCAAAGCCAGAAGACATCCAGCCCCCCAAGGGTGAAGTTTTATTGCCCTATTCAATGGGGGTGAGGAAAAAACCAACCACCTGGAAACAGCCCACTAAAACAGAGCCGTACAAGAACATGCATGGGAGCAGCTTTTCCCTCCTCAACTCCTGTGCTGAAATACACTGACAGCATCTTTCATCAGACGGCAGACGGAGGCAAACGCGAAGCTGCGAGGCTCTCTGTCGCCTGCGGCCTCGCCAAGGAGGCCAGGCTGCCTGGCACCGCCTCAGCTGGTGGGCAATACAACAATGTAAAGCCTCCGACCCACCACCAGCATTTAATCGCCGAGCAGGAGCCAGCGCTGCAGCAGGAAGCCGAGAGATCGTGTTTCACTCTGGAATTCTTCAGGCAGTTCCTTCCTCCTATGCAGGATAGCCTTCCTCCCCTCCATCCTCCTCCTCTGGCACCACATGGCCGCCAGAGAAGGGGGCCAGAGCTGAGCGCACCACGGCAGAGATTCCCAAGAAGGTGCTGTCGCAGCTCCGACTAGTACCAGCAAATAAACTCCGAGACAGCCTGGAGGGGCGAGATCTCGGGCTTCCCCTCTCTCAGCGGGGACTTCTGGTCAGCTGCAGCCGACAGGACTTCAGTCGAAAGCGCTGCGGTTATCGCTTGGAGATGGACGTGTTTTTAAGGCACTTAAGGATGCTCAGCTGGATTGCCGGGCTGCTTGAGCGGCTTCGTACGAAGGCAACTGGATCAAAGTCTAACGGTGGAGGCTGGCCACGATGAGCTCAGAGGGGAGCTGCTAAAACTAGAGGTGGTGTGTAGGACAGGTAGGTGTGGAAAGGGAAATAGAGACAATAGAGCAATGCAACGCTGCGCACCCATTATTTTTTTGTGGCAAGTGCTGGGCAGAGAAAATGCAAATCCAAGGCCAGAAGCACTTTGAGAAAGAGCTTGCCAAGGGGAGGAATGAATACACCAGTGCAAAGGGCTGCAGCAACCATACCTTAAGCATACAGCAGGCAGCAACCTCCCCGAAGTCCCCAGACACTCGGGGCCTGCTCCTTTCAGCAGATGTTTCCCTGTTCCTGCACTTACACCACAGAATACCAGTGTCACCCCCTCGCACGGACCTGCTCTGCCTCTGTGGGCTCTCAAGATGTCTGCTGCCGTGCAGGCACAGGGCTGGCACCCAGCTGCCTGCTGACAAGACGACGGGGGCGACGTCTGGTTCTGCCTCCAGAGCCAGAAAGGTGCTCGGGGCGGATAAGGCCAAGCTGTAGTTCACAGCGTCTGCTGCTAGACACGGTACAGATTTTAGCGTTCGAGCCAGCAGCATAGAGACAAGCTGCTGCACAGGCTTCTGGCTGCACTGCAGTCAAAAATGCAGCTCGAGTGTGAGAAAGGGACTTCAGCCCCCCCGGGGAGGGGTACGAACTCAGCGTGTGGCTTTATCTGCAAAGCGTCCGAGCTGCTCCCCACACCCTCTTCCTCCGCA